CTTGCTTGGTGTTCTCTTTCCTAGAGACTCACTAGGTTCATTTCACAGTGAGTATGATCCTCATGTGCTGGTCTAATATCACTTTACCGCATGGTGCCACACATTTTCTGAGAAGCTGTTTATTCTCTGCCAACCTAAAAATGTCTTCATGTAAATCTTCCTGAGTGAGTGAGGAGAAAAAGAGAGGTGGGGGGAAAGGTTCAAAAGCAAAGAAAACAAGAAGGAAGTGACCAGTGCTCAGTGAACCCACACGTGTGAAAGGCTAATCCAGAAATCACTCAGTAATCACCACCATGAAAGTAGACCAGGGTGACATGGTTGGTTACACACATGCTCACCTTCCCCACCTCCCACAAGGCCTCACTTCCTAAACCAAAGTGACCTTCTGGAATCTGGCCTCTCTCCCTCAGCTCTTGACCCCTCCTATGCAACAGCTTCTACACACCATTAGCTTCCTTCCAAAGTCCCCACTGGCTTCTCATCCAAAGCAATACGATTTTTCTGTTTTCAAGAGAAGGGCACTGGCCCATGTGTCCAGTGAACAAAGGCTGGAGTGCAGTTAGAACCCTCCAAGGCATTTACGCATTACACAGGGCAGTCTGAAAGGAGGAGGAGGTTTCAGGCAAAACAGTGCTTGGAACTCGGCTGCACTCAATGTTCAGGAGCGCTCATGGGTCAGTCACGCTCAGAGGAACAGTGTTGAAAGAATGATTATGTTTTAAGACAGTTTGGCTGTCAGCCAAATAACATATTACTGCCTATTGCCAAGTCAGGCACTTTTGCTGATGGGTGAATTTTTAAGAATTATAATAAGGAATAAATAAACTGATTTAAAAGCAAGACATTTCCTAGATGGATCTCTGAACCATCTGAGCCACCCAGGCGCCCCTAGATGGATCTCTTGATGGGGCATTGGGACAGGAGGACGATGGCTTGACTTCCATTGGGTCCCAGAATATTTCTCTATCGAAGGTGGGCCTCTGTCCGTACTTTTCCGGGACATTCTTTTTCCTATCAGTCCTGAGCTGTCTGTATGAACGTAGGTGGCTCAGAAACCTCTTTCTCAGTTTCTCCACCTTTTAAATGAAGTCACTGTTATTGGCCCCTCATACTCACACTCAGCCCTGGGAGTGGTGAGGTGGACAAGAACAGGAACATTGGCCTGAGGGTCGAGGCAGACCTAGAAGGTAAGGCAGAACATAAGGAAGCCCAGCCAAAGGCTCAAAGGTCTCCTGAAACTGACTCTTTAAGGTGATGTTTTGGTGTGGGACTGGCTCTTTACTGAATTCTTTTCATTTCTCCCCAACCCTGAGGATGTGGCCTGCTCTTCTCTTCTGTCATTACAACTGGCCTTCTGCTTGGGGTTCTGCCCCTTCCAGACTGATGAAGACCAGGGTACTTTCCCTCAATGTTTGTGCTATTTTTTGAGGCATTAAAGGGGAATCATGCTCAGAGAGCAGTAATGATGTGCTTCAGGACTGAGGCAGAGTCAGAGTAAAAATATATATAATTATTTAATAATTTATATATTTAATAATAATAACACAAACAGGCAAACATAACTTCAACATTAATCTTCCACAAGGATGTCTCAACCATCGTGAAGGAGACACGTGGTTTCCAGCCATATTTCATATTTCCATATTGATTTTTTTCCCTTTCTCATCTACTTTCTTCGTAAACTACAGATCCTCCTGCACTTTCTCCTTGATGCCCCACCTCACCCCAGATAAACTCCTTAACTATTCTGAGCCCAGGATCTTGCTCTGTATTTTACATAAAGTAACTAAGTCTTTTCATCCTCCTGCTAGCTCCTGGATCTTGCTCTTTCCTACCCAATTTCTCACCAAAACAAACAAAAAACCACCACCAATTTAAAAAAAAAAATGCACTGCTCTGGAATGACAGGTAATGACCTCCATAAAGGGTATAGGAGGGGGAGAACCCATCTGACAAACTGTAGGGCACTGGTTACCCTTCACTGGCACTGGAGGAGGGGAAAGAACAGAGATACTTGCATGCTCAAGTACTTGTGTGCTCACAAGAACTAGGCTCGACCTATCATAATGCCCAGTCTGGTTCATCTTTCGGTTTTGGTTTAAAACAAAGAAGCCCAACCCTATGGGTGGGCAGTCCTCATCAAGAGTGCTACCCTCTTTACTCTCTTCCTCCACTTACCTGCTCTTGGGACCCAACTCCTAGTGCAGACCTTTCAGTTGGAAATCCTGGGTCTTTCTCAGCTATCTGGAATTACAGCAGTAATGACAATAACAGTAATGGTGAGCATGACTATAGCTGACCTTCACTGGATGAGTTCTATATGCCAGATACCACGCAAACGCTTAACCCCAACTGTCCCCTTTGGTTTCCAAGTCCCAAGGAGCTGTTTGGGTTATCTATTGCTGCCTAACAAATTGCCACAGAACATAGCAACTTAAAACAACGCACACCCATCCTCTCACAATTTCTGTGGGACAGGAATCTGGGCATGACATAGCTGGGTCCTTGACTTCGAGGTCTCTCAAGCAAGCTATCGCTTCGGGTATAGTCATCTCAAGGCTCAACTGGGCAAGGATTTGATTTCAAGTTCCCATGATCGTTGGCAGGAAGCAGTTCCTCACTGGCTGATGGGCTAAGGTCCTCAGTTCTTCACTGACTGTTGGCCACAAGCTGCCCTTAGTTCCTTGTCATATGGGCCTCTCTAATATGACAGCTTCCTTCTTCAAAGGGTATGAGCCATGAGGACAATAGGAAGAGTCGGCTAGTGAGACAAAGCTACAATCTTTTGCAACCTAATCACAGAAGTGACATTTCACCATATTCTATTGGTTAGGATCAAGTAACTATATCTAGCCTACTCTCAATATGTCCAGCCTGCATTCCAGGGGACACAGATACCAGAAGGCAGCGATCATCAGGGACCATCTTAGAAATCTGAAAATCTCAAGACCAATTGGAAAAGGAGGGAGAAAGGGTTGTTTTCAGATTGCAAGGATAATATCAAGACAAGATGAAAGTGGATCAGGGTAAGTATTGAAGCTAATAAAGGTAGAGGTTAGAAGGCGAAATAGGGAAGTGCCTTATATCATTTTTGATCTAGTGTCTTTCTCTCTCTCTTAGCCCATAACATGAAGGTAGAGCTAACAAGATGGTGGGGATAAGGCCAAAGGGGGTACCGGGCACCACCAGGGCACCGCACAAAGAATTCCTTTTTCCGTCGGGAAAGTAAACGGAATAATAGCAATGGAGTAGTGGGGTAGAGGAGTGGCAAAGAGGGACTGAAGATAATCTCTCTGCACAAAAGTGACCCAGAGTCCCTGTGGGCAGGAGAATTTCGGCAGGGACATGCCAAAACATCACATAAAAAAAGGGAAGGAATCAGGGCATGAACCAGATCTGGAATAGGGTGTCTATAACCAAAGACAGTCAAGATGAAGGAAACAAATTCCAGACAGGAAACAGAAGGTGGTTCTGTAAAGACTTTTTTGGGGCAATGCTGCAGAGAAGCAGATGGTGCAGGGAAGAGGGCAGGGAACATTTTTCTAGCGGCAGCTACCAAATCAAATTTCACTTCAGATGTGTTTTCTGTGGGGGAGAGATTTGTAGGACTTGTCAGAGCTTTTAATATGCTAGCGTGCCTCATGCAACTCCAAGGTGTGTGTGAGGGAGGGTGGGGATTGACTAGGTGGTGTTTCTCACATATGTGTTGATTTGTTTTGCTTGGAGGTGGAAACATGCTACACATTTTAGGGAACGCTCTTTCGTTAAATACCTGTGCTTTTCGTGAGAGCAGGAAAGGTAAGCCAAGAATGGTTGCCAGCAGTTGAGCAATAGGCAAAAATTTTTATCGAACACCTATGTGTTAACCAGAAATGACTCTAGGATCTCAACATCTGGGCCCAACAATGGAAAAGATACAAAACCAGGATCCAGAGAAGTCACCAGATCATCGCTTTTTTTTTTTTTTTTTAAGATTTTTATTTATTTAAGAGAGAGAGAGTGAGCACGAGCGAGCACGAGCTGGGGGAAGGGGCAGAGGGAGAAACAGAGTCCCTCCTGAAAACAGAGCCCAACACAGGGTTCCATCCCAGGACCCTGGGATCATGACCTGAGCCCAAGGCAGACGCTTCACCGACTGAGCCACCCAGGCGCCCTACCTCCCCTTTTTTTTATACATATATATTTGTTTATTTATTTGACACAGAAAGTCAGCGAGAGAGGGAGAAATAGACTCCCTGCTGAGCAGGGAGCCCTATGCGGGACTCGATCCCAGGACCCTGGGATCATGACCTGAGCTGAAGGCAGATGTTTAATGACTGAGCCACCCAGGCGCCCCCAGATCATTGTCTTTTGCAAACATCCCAGAAATCCACACCCCAAATTCCCGAAACTCTCTTACAGTCCTTCTCTACAGAATTCTCTTTCTTCCTCCTGTGGATGCTCATTTCCTTATCAACAGAGAAGGAATCAGAGAGTTCACCCCATGAGCTTTTCTCTCGGAACTTTTTCAGTAACATTGGGTGAAGGCAATAGAGTTCCACTGAGAGAAGCAAGATGAACTTGTTAGGAGCTTTAAAAATGTCTTTCGTACAGAGAAAGAAGAAATCAGGAAAGGATCCCTTGCCAAACCACAAAGAAGATAGCTAGTTCATAAAGAAACACTAATTTCTCTAGCATTAGTGGGGAATTACCCACCATGGGGATTAAGAGATGAGTGCCCTTTTAATCAAAGGATGAGAGACCCTCCCTCAAATAACTGGGGTTGGCTAAGGGTCCCACCCAGCTCAGAAGAGCAAGCCCGCAATGAGAAGCCATTCCTTCCTGCATTACACAATGCTGTGTTTCTAGGTTAATCCTCCAAGGATATTACGGTAACTTCCAATGGTTAATGAATAGCTTCTAAGTGCCTGCTTCACTTAATTGTCCAAAGGCCAGTTGGTCCCAGAGCATATAAAGCGTCGAGCTGGCTAATGACAGCATTCTCTCTGAGCGAGGAAGCAGGGGAGTGGAAGAGTTCCAAAGGAGCAGGGATGCAGAACAGAACTAGTCTCGTTCTCTGTGCCCTTGCTCTCCTGATGGGCTTCCTGATGATCTGCCTGGGGGCCTTCTTCATTTCCTCAGGATCGATATTCAACTGTCGAGGGAAACTGATCCTGGCCTATATGCTTCTGCCACTGGGGTTTGTGATCCTTCTGAGCGGAATTTTCTGGAGCACCTACCGCCAGGCAAGGGAAAGCAAAGGGGTGTTCACCCATGTGCTCAGAAGACACCTTTCTCATGGGGCACTTCCCCTGGCCACAGTTGACAGGTATGTACGGGGAAGCCAGAGGATGAGGAAGGCTGCAATGGGGCCGGATTCTGGAAAAGCAGAATGAACTTAATCCCACTGTGGAGAAATACCCATGTCCTGCAGGGCTGTATGTCTCAAACTGAAGTTTTCCTGTTGGGATATTACTCTGGGCTTAGTCCTTAGGAAGAATGGTGTTGCCACTGGGGAAAACCATGAAGTAGAGGGTATTTAGATCTGAAAAACCACTTCTCCCCCCCACTGAAAACCTACCTAAGCCAATAGAAGAGGCCCAACTCTTAGGTTCTTTCTTTGTATCATGGAAGCTGTCCTTAGAGGCAGATTGTGGTGAGTTATTGCCCATAATCCGGCTACCAGGTTATAAGGAAAGGAAGTTCCAGACCAAATTCTGCCATACAAATGGCATTGTATGAACAAACAGGCATTGAATGAGTCCTGCAACCTCTTCATGAACTCAGTGAGGTCCCAGCTTACCGTCTTTCTAGGTGTTCTGATCACACCTTGCATGACAGATTTATTCAAGGCAAGGCAGTTAACATTCCAGTGGTAATTCGGTTAACCTTACCATCTCATACCCATTATGATGGCTCTTACTTATAAAAACACACAGAAAACAACAAGTGTCAGCAAGAATATACAAAAATCCGAAACCTAGGGGAGACCAGGTGGCTCAGTTGGTTAAGCATCTGCCTTTGGTCATGATCTCGGGGTCATGGGATCGAGCTCTGCATCGGGCTCCCTGCTCAGCTGGGAGTCTGCTTCTCCCTCTGCCACCCTCCCCCCCCTCCCCCACCGCTTGTGCTCTCTCTGGCTCTCTCTCTGTCTGAAATAAATAAATAAAATCTTAAAAAAAAGGTCCAAAACCTTGTGCACTGCTGGTGGGAATGTAAAATGCAGCAATCATTTTATGGGAAATGGCATGGAGGTTAAATACAGAATAATTACCATTCGATCCAGCAATTCTACTTCTGGGTATGCAGACAAAAGAATTAAAAGTGGGAACTTGAACAGATAGTCGTACACCAGCGTTCATAGCAGTATTCTTCATGATAGCCAAAAGATGGAGACAACCCGAATGTCCGCCAGTGGACGAATGGATAAACAAAGCGTGGTCTATCCATACAATGGAATATTATCCAGCCACAAAAAGAAGGACGTTCTGACACGTGCTAGAGCATGGATGAACCCTGAAGACATTATACTAAGTAAAAGAAGCCATTCACAAAAAGACAAATACTGTACGATTCCACTTACATGAGATATCCAGAGCAGTGAAATTAATTCATAGCCAGAAAGTGAACAGTGGTTATCGGGGTCAGCGGGGAGGAGGGAACGGGGACTCATTGTTTACTGAGTACAGAGTTTCAGTTTGGGATGATGGAAAAGTTCTGGAGAGGGATAAGGTACCGAATGCCACTGATCTGTACACTGATCTATACACAGTGGTAAATCTAATGTTACATATATTTCACTACAATAAAACAAAATTCAGTTCACGTTATGGTCAGTATCAGACAACCAAACGCTCCTAATTCTTGGCTGAACACAGGACCATTTAGGGATAAAACTTCAGGCATCATCCTCAAGACACAGGCTGTAAGACTCCATAAATTCTTCTGCCCTCTACATCTAAAATATCTTAGGTACTCCACGTATCTTGAATATAAAAAATTTTACCCATGACGGTTGATTTTTGACATTATTATGCTAATTAATAAGATGCTAATTACAATAACCAAACCCCATTTCCAATGTTTATTATACTAGCTGGCAAGGTCTCTGGGTTTGATAAAAGATTAAGATAACTAACGTGATCACGGATGGTGCTTCTTGAGTGATGATTTGTTTTTTCTTGTACAAATGTTAGATGGTTGCCTCCAGAGTGTGAATTCCTGAGAAGAGTAACTGATTGCAGGGACGCCTGGGTGGTTCAGTCGGTTAAGCATCTGCCTTTGGCTCAGGTCATGATCCCAGGGTCCTGGGATTGACCCCTCTGTCAGGCTCCTTGCTCAGTGGGGAGTCTGCTTCTTCCTTTCCCTCTGCCTGCCGCTCCCCCTGCTTGTGCTCTCTGTCAAATAAATAAATAAAATCTTTTCAAAAAGAAAAGTAACTGATTGCCTACAGGAGGCAGCTTAAATTTACTAACATCACACCACGCCGTGCTATTTCAAAGGGATCCGTGATATGGCTATCGTGACACGCCATTGAACCGTCTCTTCCTATTGCACCTAAGAGATGCCCAACCTACCCAGAATGGCCAGGAAGTCAGTCAAGAAAAAGTTGCATTTCTCAGAAGCATATGCATTCAAAATGGGGACCCATATTGAGGTGTCAGAGCAAACAAGTGTGCAGTGGTGGACCTCAGGGCCCTGGGAATGTGAACCGGTCGGGGGGCAGATGGGACTGGAAGAGCCGGATGGGATTTGGGGGCAGGTGGCCGTCATCCTGGAGCCTTTCAAATCACTCCAGGGAAACAGCTCACCTTTCTGTCTTCAGTGTCTTTACAAGTGTGCCCTGTGACACTGCCTTGACTATGCTGAGTGAAGGCTGAGATTTATGCCGTACAGTAGACCACTCCTTCAGCTATCTGGCTTTGCGCCTGGTAATATTTGGAATGGAGCTGTGGCTACAAGTGGCGGGCTCTGTTCTGTTGTGGTTACACACCATAAACACTCCCCGTGGGCACGGAGGGATTCGCTCTATAAATACACAACTCAATCAAGCTCGCCTTCACTCTTCCTCACCTCATACCACCCCCGGTCCCATTCATGGTGGAGAAGCCAGAAGGATTTAGTAATTAGCAACATTGGGCAAGATGACCAATGAATACATCACCTTTGGCATGAATGGCTCCTTTTGCCATTGACCTTTTGGCATGGAAAGGGCTGCCAGTGAGATCTACATGAAGTTGTCAGTTGAAATGGTTTGAGAAATGAGTATGTTTTTTTTGGAAACTAGTCACTGAGACTTGAAAGAGAGAGAAGAAAGAAAGAAGCATCAGATACAGTTGAGGAGACAGAGCTGGGTTTTTAAAAAGTTTTATTAGAGCGCCCGGGTGGCTCAGTTGGTTAAGCGACTGCCTTCAGTTCAGGTCATGATCCTGGAGTCCCGGGATCGAGTCCCACATCGGGCTCCCCGCTCAGCGGGGAGTCTGCTTCTCCCTCTGACCTTCCCCCCTCTCGTGCTCTCTCTCTCATTCTCTCTCTCAAATAAATAAATAAAATCTTAAAAAAAATAAAAAAATAAATAAAAAGTTTTATTAGACTGTAGTTGACACACAATGTTACATTGGGTTCAGGTGTTTAACAGCGATGTGACAAGTTTATACATTGGTTTTCACTCATTATTTTGTTGGCTAGGAGGATTTGAAACAGTGAGCATGAATGAGGTGTGTGTGAATGGGGACAAGGTCATGGATGGACTAACTGGGTGTAGGGAAGTTGAACAGCCGAGGCCCCCCCACATCCCTCACCCTGGTGACGATCTCACACTAAAAGTCCCTGGTTCCCATGAGGGAGAGAGAGGAAATAGCTTGGAATAACCCACTGGGAAAAACAGGACTATAGAGGCACACATCCGATGGCTGATAAGGAGGGTTTTGCTGGAAGAGCGGCACATTTTTTTAAAACTGGTGATGCCAGGGAAGAAGTACATCTGTTTCAAAATCAATGTTTCTTAACAGTTTCACTTCACACAGTGTGATTTGAGAGAGGCAGGCATATGCCTCTTTGGCATTAACCACTTAAATAACACATGTGTGTTTGTGGCATTTTGATCCCCAGGCCAGATTTCTACCCTCCTGCGTATGAAGAGAGTCTTGATGCCGAGAAGCAACCTTGTCCTGCAGAGGGAGACGCCTTGGATGTACCTCCACCTCTGTACACAGAGATGGGCCTTGAATTTGAGGATGCAACGGATGCCCACCCGGAGGCCCCACCTTCCTATGACGAGTCTGTAGCAGGTGGGGTGCTGGCAGCCACACCATTGCAGGATGCTGAGGGGCAGAGCCGGGGATGCTGAAGCAGGGGACACGCCCTCGTGCTCAGGATGCACCTTCATGGGCTACAGCTGCTGATAATAAACGTGGCCACTGGACTATGGGAGGGAAAGTGTCTTCTGGGACCCCCAGGAGTGCCTGCCGAGGAGATGCTGGGGATGACTGCCGTGCAGTTCCACCGATGTGCTTGGCCTGAAAGGGCTCCAGAGGGGTGTGGTCGGCAGCCGGCAACATTTCAAAGGATTCGCACTAATCCCAGCCCAGGTGGGCTTTGGGACTGCTTTTAGAGCTCTGCTCCAAGAGGCTTTTGGCTCTCACTCAACCCCCTCCCATCACCTCAGCCCCCAGGGGGAAGGAATAGGTGCTGCTCGTGGGGCAGCCAGCCACCTTCAGGCACTGCATCACCCAACAATCGCAAAAGGAAAGCAGGCTGGAAACAAAGGGTCATTGTGGTTTAATCTGCGGCTTTGGTTGGCTGGTGTCACAGTTCTCTCCATTCACCGTATTACCAGAGTGACACCGTAATTCGCATTGTGGGAGGTGTGCTCTTGGAAGCCATGAATGTTACTTCATACTACTTAATTTTAATTATGTGTATTTTACTTCTACGTGGAAAACAACTACAATATTTCCTTTCAAAATGGCTCGAACACAAAATTTCCAATGAATATCTTAAAAACAGGATGGTTGTACAGCAGAGATGACAAGGTTTCTTGGAGACTCAAGTGGGACAGACATAACACTTAAAATTCATAAGACAGAATACAGAAGGGAAAACTGTACTAGTCATAAGTTGTATTAACATAGATTTTGACGTAAATATTCAAAGGCATTAAAATATCCGTGTGTATTTCAACAAATCCCCCCCCCACCCCCCGCAAATCTCTAGAATCTGAAAGAAAAGAGACTATATTGTAGTACTTTGATCCTTAACCGAAAATTCTTGAGGGTCTCAAGATACAGACCCATATGCATTTTTAGACTTGGGACATTTATTTTAAAAACCACGGATTCGTCCTCAGCTGTATTATATTTTATTACATGTTTTAACACACGAGGACATGTTGGGTGGCAGGGCAGTGGGAAGAGAGGCAGCCTGATGTTTTAGAGCTTGGACAAGAATCTTCATCTGTCTGGGCCTCAGTTTCTTCCTCAATCAAGTGAGGAATTTATGCTACGATTGTTATCTAACAATTATGGAATGTCTTTTATATGACAGGTTCTGTGCTGTGAACTTTTTTGTGCTTTTTGTTTAGCCCTCATTATACCCTTCAGAAGTAAGTGCAATGGTTAGTCCCATTTTACAGATGCATAAACTGAGACTTTGAAGGCATTGAGAAACTTTGCCAATAGCGTACAGTTGTTTCCAGTAGAGGGGCGTGAGTGTATTTACTTCAAACATTTGTGCTAGGTTAGCCCTGTCTTAGCTCCCTTCTCCCACGGAGCAGTCTGGACTTCTCTCCAGATTCAGAAAGTGGGCCCCATCAGGAAGTGGAGCCCCAGGATTGGTACAATACCTTACAACCCTTGGGGAAGCCAGAGAGCTTGCTCTAGCATTCTCTTTTATATTTTTTAACTTAAAAAAGACTTAAAATTTTTTCATTGTAGTTGACATATAATAGGGTTCTCTTTTAACATGTAAATACGCCCTCCATGTTTTCTGCCCAGGAGCTTGGCCCCCACCTCTTTGTGCAGTTTCCTTCTCTCTGATCATTCCATCGATGATGAATAGTGGCTCCTACTGGTGACAGGCAGCCCTCAGTGAACGGGCACGGGGGGTTTGAATAGTGGTGGCGAGGATGAAGAGCTTTCAAGGGCTGTCAAGATGGAATGGGGCCTCCATGGCCTCCTCTTCCCATTTTTGCCAAGTGCACAGATGAAGCATGTCCTGACAAATACGCAGGAAGCCACATGAAAGGAAATCCTGGGTCTTTTACATGAAACATGCATTTGGGCATCTGGGATTTGAATCCTTGACCTCAAGGGCATAACTGGATATGAAGGTCACTCATGGCTGTCCAATGGGAAGGTGACCATTTCTTAGCAATGCAATTTATTGCATTGCAATTTATTAGACATCGCATTTCTTAGCAATGCAATTTATCTCTTTCTATCCCTCTACTGAGATTGTTACCCTGAAATTTTCTCTGGGGTCTGAACACATCCATGGGCCTTAACCAACTCTGTCACTAGGCTTTCATCCAGAGTTTGCATTTGTCATAAATGGATTTTTCCAACTTCTGGCAGTCATATGAAACATGTTATTTTTGGTTTACATAAGAAAATTGTTTTGATCTCTTTACTGCAGTAAATTTTGTACTTAAACTTCCCTCTCTTTCATCTCTGTTTTGTATCAGAAAAAAGAAATCAATAGGGGAACGTAGTCAAAGTTTGATTCTCCATGCAGAACTAGCAAACCATCCAGATGAGTTCATCTTTTTGAAAACCCAAACATTACTGAACATCAAGTATTGATTTCAGAAGATAAGCCAGGTGCTTTCTGAAAAGAAGTACTACTAATAGACATTTATTGCTTTTTTGAAAACAGATGTACTCTGAAGCCACCATCAAGGACATGGGTGTTACTCCAAACAAATCCTACCTTTGAGAGGCCCAGCAATTAAAACCCGCTGGGCAAGGCAGAACAAAAGCGTTCTGTTGTGCTTAATCAGAATTCACTGGCCACTCCTATGGTACTTACTCAAGGAGGTAGACATTGTATCCTGTCTTCCTCTTTAAGTTTATGGTACAGTTAGAGGTGATGGATGGAGAACCACAATTCCCTGAATGGCAGGGAGGGCACAGAGACTGCGAGAGAACGAAGAGGCAAATATTCACTACAGTCTTTGCTCATTCCCTTCTCTCACACGGGAATGGTAGGCTCACCTGTCAACGACGATGGGAAATTCTCGGAGGTGATGGCTCCTCCACTATTTTCATCTTACAACCTTCCTCTGAGTGGTGGCTCTAAGTACTCCCGCCATCCCCCAGAAGGTGAGCATGACAAGGTCAGTTACAGAATACATTATGCTGCATCTTTTGCGTATCTGAGATGTAGCGTGTGTATTTTTGACCTCTCCACTCCAAAACGCGCAAGTACTTTTACTGGCAATTCTACCCATTCCTCAAGATTCTACTTAAACACAGAGTCTTCGGTGAGGTATCTCCCCAGCTTGCCCATATTGCAGGGCACCTACTAGGTGCTAAAAGTCACGAAAAAAATGATAAAGACATGGATTTATAATGCATACCTTCATCATATTCTATAATTTTCCATGACAGGTTAGGCTGATTCACATACCAAGTGGGCTGCGAACTGCATGAGCCATTTCCACCGATAAGGGCTCCAGCTGGTGGAAGTGGGACAGGCATCCACTAAGCTCTGCTGCCTCTGATCATCTCTTGCTGTCCGTAACCGTTGAAGGGCTAAACACTGATTTACTGGCAGTTACATCATTTCGAAAGGTGCACGATTTCTCAGGCCCTTCTCCACTCGGGGAGGGAAACCTCATCAAGGCAGGTGTCTGGGATGTCAGTGTCCACGTGTTTCAAGACTACCCGATGCATAATCAAGCAATAAAATGGAGTCACCTGTTGGGCACTCCCCTCTCCCGCAGGTGCGTTTCAAATTCCCCACACCTGCCATGGCTGATGGCTATCACTGCCAAAGTAAATCCCATGCCTCACACTGACCCACAGCTGGCCAATCAGAAGTCAGCACACCATTTTCCCCGGGGATGTCTATATTACCTGCAGAGAACACTGGATCGGCACAGCCAAGCGTCAGCCCACTGTGCCGCCGTGGGACTGGTCATCGATCTGAGGCTTCCTGTGTAGAAAGCCTTCAGGAAGGGGTGCCTGGGTGGCTCAGTCGTCGTTAAGCGTCTGCCTTTGGCTCAGGTCATGATCCCTGGGTCCTGGGATCGAGCCCCGCATCGGGCTCCATGCTCTGCGGGAAGCCTGCTACTCCCTCTCTCACTCCCAACTGCTTGTGTTCCCTCTCTTGCTGTGTCTCTCTCTGTCAAATAAATAAAATCTTAAAAAAAAAAAAAAAAAAAGCCTTCAGGTCATGTCCAAGCCTGGTCAGCCCGAGGTGCCATAAAAAACTATTTGTTCTGTGAATCCTGTGGATAGAGGCTGCACCTTGGATCAGGAATACTGGATAAACAACTCATTTTTTTAAATTTTAAAAAATTTTTTATTGTTATGTTAATCACCATACATCATTAGTTCTTGATGTAGTGTTCCACGATTCATTGTTTGTGCATAACACCCAGTGCTCCACGCAGAACGTGCCCTCTTTAATACCCATCACCAGGCTAACCCATCCCCCCACCCGCCTCCCCTCTAGAACCCTCAGTTTTAAACATCTCGTGTTAATGATGGCTGCCTGCCATGTTCAAGGTCAGCTAATGAACCCAAGAATCATGAATGAGGCAATACAATTTTTTGTTCTAAGGGACTGGTGGACCCCCGGTAGGATATTTAGAATCCACGGTCCCGTCCCCTTAAATGCCTCCCTGGCACATATAGACACATTTCCAAACACTGCTCTGGTTGGGAACCGCTGCACTGTAGACACTGTTGCTTGTCATTGTCCTGGGGGCACACGGTGTTGCGAGTGAATCCCTCGATACTAGCCCATCACAAGAGTGGCCCGGCAGTTGCCACACTCCATCCACCCTCTCCTCTAGGACCGTCTTCTGTGGTCCCCACAAAAGTCTCGGACCTCTCCAGTCATTTACTCTTAAGAAAGGCTGGTGGCTGGAGCTTCATCTTTAAGACATAAAGACCATTACGTGCAGAAGAGTGACTTCCTGCCTTCCACCTCTCCCAAGGAGAAGACAAGAGGACTAGCAGGCATAGCTCAGCCAGAGAAGCTCGGATTTTACGTAAAGCAGAAATAATACCTTGGCAATGTGAATCTGAGCAGGTTCCCGAGAGAAAGGCTGTGTCCCAGAGCCACCACAGGATCTCCCCTTGGCAACCTCGCTAAGAAAAAGCTCTGTAAAAACCGGTGGTCATGCAGCTGCTTCTTTCCGTAGCTGGGCCCAAACGTGTGCTCCACCTGCTATTTCTACCTCTGTGCCTCCTGCACTCGCGCTCATCCGCGCCATTCTCTCCCGAGACCCAGCGCAAGCCTCCCCTCCAGCCATCCTACCTCGCAACTCTGTCTCTGCTCTGGCTACGTGGACGCCTCGTGAAATCACATACGTAATTACAAGTCTCAGGAAACTCCGCTCTTCGGGAAACCCATCAAGTGCTTAGTGTCCTGCCATCTCAGAGCTAATCCCTCCGCGTGTTCCCATAGCACATTGCTGGCGCCTCTACTAGAACATTCATGTCCTCCCGCTTCTTCGTGTACGTATGTCCTAGCCTCCTGTGTCCACATTCCAAACTCCTGGGAGCAGGAATCCTGTTTTGTGTATCTCCTCGCTGCATCACAAACAGGACTCTGCAGAGAGTGGTCGTTCAACCAGTGTTTGTTGAATGAATGAATGAATGAATACTTGGGCGGCTGGGCACACAGGCTGGAAATAAAAAAAATAGATTTTTAAAATGTGGATTACCTTACATTTGAACTTTGAAACTGGAGATGATTCAAAGTTCAGCAACTTGAGAAAAAAACACCTATTTTCTGACCTGGA